TGCCCAGCTGCAAAAACAAAATGAAGAAGCAACATTTTTCTTTTGGGTATGTTCAAAATAATTTAAGCATGTTTTCTTAATTTATTTTTAATAGAGAAGTTTTAACAAATTTTGTCTGTGGTTTTAAAATGCAATGCAATAAACATCAGAGTATTCAACAAGTGGTAAAAAGTGTGTTATTGTAAGTTTAAAATTTTCAGAGCTCTTACAGTGTCATTTTGTATGGGGGAGGAAGGAAAACTCTTAGTTTTTCACTCTGGAAACCTGATAATCCTAACATGGCCTATGTTATTCAGAGAAGGTACTGTAAATTTGATAGACTAAATAATCTTTAACATGTTGGCTGACACACAATAAATTAAGTATAAATAAAATTAAACATTCAGAACATGCCAAGGAGCAGTCACAATGTTCCAAACTCATATGCCACAAGAGAAATTTGGCTTTGAAACATCATTTTCTGTGACCCACCTGTGTGTGTCATGCGATCAATAACTAAAAGTCAGTTGTGACCCACCAGTGGGGCACATGGCAGCCAACATGTTAACAAAGAAATGATAAATATAAATTTGCCTGCAAGAATACAAAAATATGGTGAAATATGTTCATTGTCATTTTTGTACATTTCTAAATTTATGAAGGCAACACTACCTTAAAGCAAAGGTACCCAACTGATGACCTATGGCACAGTATTTTTTTAGTTTCCTTGTTACTCATAATTATGATTATTTGTTACTTTAGATTTGTAGCAACTCTTCTGGTAGAAGTTTACACAATTAAAATTTCATTTTCTTATGAGCTAATGTGTTGGTGAAAAGCTTGGTAAAAGGAAAATCATATGGCAAGTCTTTCAGGTTTGTAAAAAAGAAAAAAGTGAGATGTGAATTATCAAGGGCAAGTATTGAAACTCAAGAGGGTAACAATACCAGCACTCTAGGTGTATAAAAACAAATGAAATGCACACACAAAACCTTAACACACGAACACTGCTGTCAGAGATGGGGCTCTGAGGGAAGAAAGATCCATTCCCTTTGAATTCTTTAGTACTATTTACACCCACCCCTCCCTTATATATATGGTGACAATGTCTGTACTTTTCAGCTCCTAATTTAACTTTTGTATAGTTTAATGGAGTTTAAAAAGCTTCCCAAGCATGCACACATGATTCTCTTCACTTTCAAAACCCAAAAGACTTCTAGAAGGTAGAGAGGGTTAAGAGCTTGTAACTGCTGTATTTCATATGTATTAAATAATTAGAAGTGTCAACTCATCAACACAAGTAAAAATTGTTTTTAACTATTTTCCTACTATTTCATAAATTGTGCCATGAACCTGTACTGATTCAGATTCTCTATTACAATATACTGTATTTTCCATTTGCTTTCAGTTCTTCATCAGCATTTTAAGTGCATTTCTTCTTTGTTTTTAATACTACGTTTTTGAAACCTAGTTTTATTTCTATTATAATCACTACTAACAGTTTTTGATAGCCCTAATACTAACAATTAAAACTTAGACAGGTTATACTAAATGCCCAATATCATTAAATTGGGCCTCTCCTGTTTCTACAAACATATTTCAATTTGATCCCCACTATCTGGTGGGTTGTTTCATATTACTTACCAAGTTGACTAATTGTATACTTTACAAAATGAGATCATATTAATACATAAAATAATCTAATATTTGTGTTCTATTCCTGCTTTAGTGATACTGACAGGGACATAATTAGTAAAGTTTACAGATGACATTTAAAGACTTGGGTATTCCTCACTGTAATAAGAATGTTGCTGCATTACAGAATGACTTAGATTAAGTTGGACAAATATCTGGCAAATTACTTGAAGGATTAGCCTCAAAATTGAGTATGTTCCCATTATTATATTAAATATGTAACCCAAATTATAATCAGCCATATAAGTGAAAGATAATTTCTTTGGTATATAATGTTAATTACAGATTTAATACTGATGGAAACAGTCAATTGTGAGACTAAAGAAAATGATCTTGGCATAGTAGTGGATAAAGGCACTCAAGCAATCAACACAGTATTCTGTTGCTAGTAAGAAAGTTTCTAGTATTTTAAGGTGTATTTACAAACATATTGATTAAAGACAAAATAAGATATCTGTAGAAAACACTAATTAAACCTCACATGAAGTTTGTTTTTTAATTTCGTGCAAAGCTACACAAGGGCTATCTGCGCTAGCCATCCCTGATTTAGCAGTGTAAGACTAGAGGGAAGGCAACTAGTCATCACCACCCACCGCCAACTCTTGGGCTACTCTTTTACCAATGAATAGTGGGATTGACTGTCACATTATAACACTCCCCACAGCTGAAAGGGCGGGCATGTTTGGTGTAACAGGGATTCGAACCCGCAACCCTCAGATTGCAAGTCCAGCGCCTTAACCACCTGGCCACCCTCACATGAAATTAGTATCATTATCTAAGAAAGAATAGTCACTTTTTGGAAAAGATTTAGAGGAGGGATACTAAGATTCGAAATGGAAGGATTATCTTATGGAATAGGTTAAGATCTCTTATTTTCTTACCACTTTATTATGAAGACAATAGGTCAAGAAGATCAAAGTTTAATATTTAAAAAAAAAGATAGTCTAAGCACCAGTTAAGACAAATTAATTTTTCTAACAGGGCTTTTGGATTACAGAAGGAATTGCCATCAGTAGTAGTAGATGTTGGCACTTTACTAAAGTTTGAATGTGGAATCAATAATTTCCTGAAAAATAAAGGGTGGGCTTAAGACTTTTCTTTTTCTCAATGAAGGATGTGCAAAGACAACCTTGAAGGACCAAATGGTTCCTTGTTGTCTGTATGTTATGTTAAATAGGTGGCCAAATTTCATAGCAAATATTATTAATGTTCATGAGCCATAATATGAGCTCCTGTGATATCAAGAAAACTGAACATAATTTGGGAAGTTGTTTGTAGTGAACAAATGAAGTAACACATCAAGTATTATTCTATGTTATTTTTATTGAACTTCATAAAACGGGCATACATATTAGCACATTTGTCAGACATGATATACACCATTAAAAGTTATAAACATAAACAAGTAATTTAATTGGAAATTTCTTATTAGACTGGATTACCTATACAGTAGAGCATTCAATATAATACAAAGATGATATTACACAGTCTAGTACACTTTAAAAATACTTTAACTTCAAATTATTACACTTTTAAATACTTTTCAATGCTACTGTTAAGCCTAATGTTTAAGAACCAACTATATTAGTTTTTTTTTCTTGCTAGTTTGTCTTCATACTGAAAATCATAAAACAGGTTAAATACAGTTTTATTATATAAATATAATCTAAAAACTAGTTACTGTCTCTTTGTGTTTTAAAGATTAACTTGTTTCCTTGAACTTAGATCCATTACTTTAAATTCAGCCTATAATTATAGGTAGGTTATAATATAAATCAGGCTAAATACATTGTATTACTATTATTAACATTACTTATACATCAAAGACTAGTTATTGTCATTTCTAATAAAGTTATATTTTTAAGTTCTATATAATTAAAGATAAACTTTATTACTTTAGTGTGAAGACAAACCAGTGATAAAAAACTAATATAATTGGTTCTTAAACATTAGGCTTAACAGTAAAAGTTGCAGGGGTACAACAGAAAAGTACCCAATTTTATTTATTACCAGGACATGCTTTTAGGACATGGTGCAACAACCTTCACGTAGAATGTTTTGGACGACATCATATTTGAGGCATTTTTTTACTCTACATTTGTCTAGTTTCACTCTCTTTACAAGTATGAAATATCAGTGATGCTAGTAGAAGTAGAACAATGTTTGACTAAAAGACATAGAAGCCTCACTGTGAAACTTATATTCTCTGTATCTATGGATAAACACATATTTTGTGATGCTAAAACTGAATTATCATATTATTAATTTTTCATCAGTGTGGTAAACTGCTTGAAAATAAAGTCTGTGTGAAAATTTGGTAGATGTGACAAATATTTGGGAAGAAACAATGTTCATGATTTTAACTGAAGATGTTATTGCAATCAATAACTATTGTGTTTATTAAACACAAACTGGAAATGTCACTTGCTATGTTAGCTTGTGTTCATAAAAATAGCATGCATATTATATGTGTACACATGTAGAAGCTATTCAAATGGCAACTTGCTTGAGTAGCAACCAGTAGCACAGCTGCTTTCTACCAAACCTGCTGAGTGGACTGTCCTGAGAATAGATATATAGCCATTACAAGTCAATAATCAGACTACCCAAGTAGAAATCCTAGTTTTGGGTTAAGTTTAGGAATTTTTACAGTCAAGCTACTTTACAATTTGTCCATTCATTTAGATGAACCATATTGCATTTTTGCTTCATATTAAAGAATTTCTGAAGGGGATGACCCCAGATCTCCCTAGAACTAGTAGAAGGCGACCACCTTTGGCATTTGCAGCACTTTACCTCAATATTGCAAGATAAAAATTGCCTTTCTGAAAGTTTTACAAACGTCTCTCTCTGTCTTGAAAGTTGAACAAATTCGTAAAAGCTTGCACTAGCAGTAACACAGTAGCAGCCCTGGAGAATAAGCAATAATTCTAAACAATAAGAATACATTTAAGTTTAAAAAAGAAATCACATGTAAATTTTTACCTACTAAGTAACTATTAATATTACTAATCGTATAGACTATATTATATACCATACTACTACTGAGTACTAGTAGTAGTAATACTATTGCTGCATTAGTGATCTAATAGACTAAGAGTAAGATTGTCATTAACTCATTATTAAGACAATGAGTTCTTAATCATTAATGCTTATAAAGTTAAAAGCCAAACTTATTATGTTCTCAATTTCTCAGTATAAACTATAAGTATAAATGAAATTAAAAAAATGTAACATCTAATGTCCGGTTCGAAATAAATGCTCTAGAGATAAAACTGAACTCAATTTAAATTTCAAATAATAATGTTTAAAAGTTTTAATCTTACCGCCAGTAAGAACCAATTTATAAACGATTTTCTCTTTTAGTTCCGAATTTTGCATTTTATCAGATTATGTAATTGACACTATATGTAAATGTTCCTATACTATTGCTGACAGCAAACCCTTTTTCATATACACTTTCAACTAAACACAAGTTTATAAAAGATTAAGCCTAACAATAAATCACGTTTCCAAATCCCAGGTTACTAGAGAATGCACGCCGGGTATGCATTATCGCCATCTGCCTAAAATTTAGTTAAATTACAAAAAAAACGTGTGTTCTACAAGTTGTTCTTACCCAATTGGGAAGTCTGCGGACTTATAACGCTAAAAACCGGGTTTCCATACTGTCAGAATTTAAAATATATATCATTCTTTTTCGCCAATGGTCAAAATAACATATTGCCATACAGATGCAAGTACCTTTAAGATCAACCTTGTAGCACATTCAGAAGGTTCAATGACGAGCTAGAGCTGCAGTTGCTTCAACTAGTTTTAACTTGTGAAATCTGATTTGGCTCTGTCACCAGGTTGGTTTTAGGTTCAGCAGTCATTTTGCACCCATTGTTATGGTGGTTGGTTTACAACCCATGGACTTGGCATTCATGTGCCTATAATGATACATGAATGTGAGATTGAATTTCTAGTAGATAATGGAGAACATTACTTAATCATGCTGCATATCAAGTACTCTGAAAGAAGCCATTGTTTCAACTAGTTAATACAAATTTTTATTGGGAAAATGGTGGAAAGATAAACATGAGAGTAATGATGCATCTCTAACATTGTCTTGGCAATATTGCTCACCAAACACAAATAGTTTTCTCTGATCTTGGCTCAGGCATTGGTGTCTTTGGGATGGATCTACTATAGAAGTTGGTTATCAGTTTCACTGTAACAAATACCAACCAGACTGGGCACAAGAACAGTGGGATACAGCCATGCATGCATGTTGAGAAGATGCACAATGTTCTGTGATGTGCTATAGATACAGTCTAGTGCATTGCCACTTTCTGCTGTGGTGATAGAGTACATGCATGAAATACCTTGTTTTCCCTGGAAAGCAAGTTTTACTTGCTTAAACAGTTACGTGTCCAAGTGGTGGTGCTGCAATACTTTTAGTCTGCAATTAAAGACATTCAGATAGTTATCTTCAGCTGGAATAGTCATTGGCATAGTAATTGAGGTAGCTATTGTTGTAACCAATGTATCATACCTAAGAATGAACATAAAATACAACTTCCTGAGCATTTGACAAAGTCCATATTTTAGGATTATTCTAGCAATTTGAGTTTAACTCAGGAAAATGAGCCCAAGGAATTGCTCAATGGATTTTCTCCTCTGTTTCTAGGACAAGGTTAAGACAACAATCCCATGGTATCAGGTAGTTACAGGCAAAGTTTTCTGAAACAACCACCATGCAGATGTCCTTTAAGCACCAGGAATGCTGTCAGTATTTAAACGGGATGGATGTTAAAGGACAAAAATAATACAATCTTCAGAGAGAACTTGGTAGAAAGAATAAAAGAGGTCAAGGTACTGTGTGGACTTTATGCAGACGAATGTGGTACCACACATTGGTCTTTTCCTTTTCTGAATATAAACAAATGTTTGAGTTCATTGAAGAGAGCCCTTTCGTTTAGCACAATAGAACTCGTTTCTGGCCACTAACAACTGGAACTGGATGATAAACATAGACATACAACACTGGTTCAAATTAGAGTTGTGAAGTCAAAATACTAAGTCTATAGTTTCGTACGAATTAGAAACTCAAATTACCGATATTGACAAGCTGGAATATAAAATAAGAACGTTTTATCTTTTTCTATTTGCTAAGATATTGCTCATGTAATAAATCAAACACAGTGGCACCCCGCCCACCTCTTTCCACTTTTGGAAATGCTCCCTTATATACACTTACTTCTATATATGACATGAATAACCAATTTGAAGCGCAGAATGTCCCCCTAATGGCTTTCTCAGTAAGTTTAACGGTCTTGGCACCATCGTTTCTTTTGAACCAATATTTCAACAGGTAGGGTGTGTCTTTAGTCTGCTCGAAATTTCATATTTTTTAGACTAAAATACATCTTAGTTACTAAGCTTGATAAATTATAGTGGAATTCTATGGTATTATGTAGTAATTTATGATTTTTTAGTTATTCAAATGTATATATAAAACCTAAAAAAATGTTTTCATATCCTCCATGTGCAAAATTTTTCAAGGCTTAGCAAC